TATTCAATCTATAACAGTAAAAAAAGTTTTTTGTTTTTAAATCCAAGCTATTGTGACACTAGATGTAATTGGTGGCACTGACTGGGGAAATGGGCACAGTATGCACTGTGAGCCTGACACAGAAGCTGGCAGCAGTGGCAGACAACTAAGTGCAATTACATTACATAGAAAAAAATAAATAAAAAAAAAGCATACCCTTATCCCTAACCTAGCTATGCTTTTCCCTATCTTATGAACAGTAGCTACACTTTCCCTCCTCTTACTAAGCATGCAGCTTGAGAATGAATCTAAAATGGATGCTGTCCAGTAGGTGGGAGGGTCTGCTAGGGAGGCTGTGCTGCTAATTGGCTGGAATGTGTCTGCTGACTGTGAGGTACAGGGTCAAAGTTTACTCAATGATGACGAATAGGGGGATGGTCGAACCGCGCATATGTTCGCCCGCCGTGGCGAACGCGAACATGCTATGTTCGCCAGGAACCGTTCGCCGGCGAACCGTTCGGTACATCACTACCTCCTAGTACCTTTCTCTCTCCTTGTCTATCACCTTCATACTGCTCTCTCTGTGGACACTCACTCTTCCAATGTCCCTCCTTTCTAAAATACGCACATTGATTCCTACTTAAAGGTCCCTTACTCAGCCTATTCTCGACTCCTTTATTCACTTCCCTCCCCTGTCTTTCTACGCTTGTGATAGCTACTGCTAGCATATCTACCTTCTTCCTCATTTTACGTTCCTCCTCACGCTTTGTCTCAGTTTCCCTATTCATATACACTTTATTTGCAACCTCCATTAGCTGTGATATGGATATCCCTGCAAATCCCTCTAATTTCTGTAGTTTCCTTTTAATATCATCTTGGGCCTGGCTGAAAAATGCTGAATTAATCATCCTAGAATTCTCAGGAGCCTCTGGATTAAAAGGAGTATACAACCTATATGACTCCAATAATCTCTCATTAAAGGTACTAGGTGACTCATCAACCTTTTGCAACACCTCAGCCATCTTTGACATATTAATTGCCTTCTTCCCTCCTTCCTTCATGCCAGAAATTACGGCTTCCTGATAAGCCCTTAGTTGGGGCATGTCAGTGCCATTTACGTTCCAAAGGTCAGTAATAATTGCTGACAATGAGCCCAGGTGGGATTGTGGGTTTGTATAATAGAGGTAACCAAATCTGTCATGACTTGAGGCTTATCAGTGTATGAAGAATTATGTGTCTTCCAATTAAATAAATCAGTCGTAGTGAAAGGAACATAAACAAATACAGGGTCTGCATGTTGCAATTGACCATTATTGTCAACGTGTGATGGTCCCGGTGTAAGTCAGAGAGGCATTTGGTAATGTCGGGGTTGGAGGGTTCCAGTCATCTGTCTGGTTAATACAGGGCTTCGGCAACGCTACTCAGCAATAGGTTCCAGTCTGAGAGTAGTAAGATAGGTGGAAGGGGGTGAGCTAATTTTACTAGTCAGCATTTGGTGGATGAAAATTTTTTTTTTTTTAAAGTGTTAATCCAAAAACCTACCAGTAGGTGTCACCAGAGGGTAATTGTATCAAAATAATCTTTATGGGTCTAATAATAAAACTTAACTTTTAATATATTTATACATAAAATAAAATCTTATAGCAATAAATATATTAAAATAGGATAAACAATCCTACTTCTGTCTGTTATATGCCAGTATAGCGTTAAATATGATTATGCAATGTAATATCAATGTAACTCCCGAAGATGGCAAGTAGGTGGCCCTAGAGTGCCTCCCTAAAATCTAATGAAGCAGATAGACTTTAATTATGTGCTTATTTTATTATTACTTATTTTAATCACTGTTCACCCTGATATATAGGCTTGAGTAAAGCTTTAGTTCTATGGTAAATTAAACATCTCAGTTTGTATTTTAGTAAAGGGGATATTTTGAACAAAGCTGGGAGGGGCCCATCCAGTAACTAAAAAAAGGATAAAAGTGTACTCTAGCATCTTATACCATTAATCATTTCTTCCAGTTGTATTTTAGACTATCACTGAAGACACACAGTATTCAATAGTTTTAGTGCTATTTGAGCAATGATTATGGTACAATGTCATTGCTGAGAATTATACGATCCAATAGACTCAGTTACTGTTATTAAGAATTCTCCTCACAATTTAACTGTTAATAAAATTCAATGCTAAAATACACTCCTACCAAAAAGGAAGTCAATTCAAATTACAAAGAACCAGTTTGTACAGAAATACAAGAGTTGGAAGAAAAGAACAGATAGGTATGTGGGTAGGCGGGGACAATAGAGCAGGGGAAGTGCAAATACCAGCTATACCAGTTTTTAGCTTGGGAGGAAGAGTAGGGGGAATGGCTACTCTGGCTCTGGAGGATGAGTAAGGGGGTTGGCAATCAGATGCAAGGGGGGAGGTGTCCAAAGCAGTTGTAATTAAGGTCTTAGTGGACAAACAGGTTCTGGCTACCATGGACTCCATTGTTCCTCTTAGCACAGCTTGTTCCATTTAGCAGTGTTTCAACAATCTTTATACAGAAACTACTCGTATAGCCCCATCATATTATTTATAACACTGTAAACCTGCTGTATTAAATCTGGATCAAGGATCCACAGCAACACTGGTTACCAGAACAGGCCATCCTCTGCTACACAGAGTATTTTAATCTTTTGGGGGACAGTGTTACAACATATTCCTTAGAAAAGTTATTTTTTTTTTTTTTTTGACACATACAAGACAAAGGACTGTTTGTGAATCAGAAGCACCCATGATTTCAACAGGGCGTCTGATTCAAAGCAGTACAAATATACAAACAGTTTCAAAAGTCACACCAGTTACCTTAGCAACAGCACCCCGTGGCACAGTTACTAGGCCAAACACACACCAAAAACACGAGGAGAATTCTCATACACACACAGCGCTAACACAATGTCTTCACACACGAAAATTCACCAAACACTAGATACTCATCACTGTAACTATAAATCAAACCCTGTAACCATCTATGCAGTAAATCAACTCTCAATTACCAGACTATAACACACTCCAGTAACATCGTCTTTACAATCAGTAGTTATAGTACGGTTAGCAAGTGGTTATGGTACAGTTTTAGAATCACAGGTCGATTAGTAACAGTTATGGTGTTACACATATAACATCAAACAACAGATTGTTAGTAGTTATATACAATACACAATGTCTGTAATTATAATACATGTTAGTGGTTATGGTACCGTGCACTATTATACAGTTATACACACAATTTACACTCCCGCTAGACGGCAGAGCTCAAGCTTTCTATCAGGACATACAATTCAACCAATTCACCAACTACAATATATTTAACAACATTTACAATAATCCCAACTATTCTAACTGGCCAGCACCTCGAGAGCTTTCAATCTATTTGTACACCAGAGATTCGATAAGTTCTTCGCTGCCCAGACACCACGTATAGCGAACTAGAGGGCAGAATTTACACCAATACCCTTTTAGTCTATTACACTATCAATAATCTAGTGGCTGGATTTACAACAGAGCACACTTAGTTAAGATAGGGTGAAATCTAGCAAACTATAATATACAACAGAGTCTGCTTAGTTTCGCCGATCTCCCCGACCTAGCAACCAAAATTTACACCTAGCATGCTAGTCAAAGCAGGACATCGGTGTCCGACATGAGCTATTTACACCAGAACTCAGTCTGACAATACCACCTATATTAGACGGGCTGACTACAGAGCGTCTAATGTCCAGATAAGCGTTGCGCCTTCGCTTCTTCCTTCCAGGGGCCAATTCCAATAACCGGTTCCAAATATAAAACCCCTTGTGGGTCTTATCAGTCTTACCTGTTAGTTCCTGGACCTGGGTTCACACTCATTGACGGAACACCCCGGTACTCACTGCGCAGAAGCCGATGATCTTACAGTCAAAATTTTTTTTAATTTTTTTTTTTAAATGTATACTACTGTTACACCAGATATGAGTTGCACTGGTGTTACACTGTGCCCTGGCAGGCCCTGAAACGCACACTCGTGAAGGAAACTGACTGCTATTATATTACAGTCCAAAAAGTTTTGTTTTTTTTAAATGCAAGCTATTGGGACACCAGTGAGTGAGTGGTGGCACTGGGCAGGCCCTGAAACGCACACTCGTGAAGGAAACTGACTGCTATTATATTACAGTCCAAAAAGTTTTTTTTTTTTTTAAATGCAAGCTATTGGGACACCAGTGAGTGAGTGGTGGCACTGGGCAGGCCCTGAAACGCACACTCGTGAAGGAAACTGACTGCTATTATATTACAGTCCAAAAAGTTTTGTTTTTCTTAAATGCAAGCTATTGGGACACCAGTGAGTGAGTGGTGGCACTGGGCAGGCCCTGAAACGCACACTCGTGAAGGAAACTGACTGCTATTATATTACAGTCAAAAAAGTTTTGTTTTTTTTTAAATGCAAGCTATTGGGACACCAGTGAGTGAGTGGTGGCACTGGGCAGGCCCTGAAACACACACTCGTGAAGGAAACTGACTGCTATTATATTACAGTCCAAAAAGTTTTGTTTTTTTAAATACAAGCTATTGGGACACCAGTGAGTGAGTGGTGGCAATGGGCAGGCCCTGAAACGCACACGCGTGAAGGAAACTGACTGCTATTATATTACAGTCAAAAAAGTTTTTTTTTTTTTAAATGCAAGCTATTGGGACACCAGTGAGTGAGTGGTGGCACTGGGCAGGCCCTGAAATGCACACTAGTGAATGAAACTGACTGCTATTATATTACAGTCAAAAAAGTTTAGTTTTTTTTAAATGCAAGCTATTGTGACACCAGTGAGTGAGTGGTGGCACTGGGCAAGTGGGCACAGTATATGCTGTGAGCCTGACACACAGGCTGGCAGGCAGGCAACTGCAATTACATTACACAGAAAAAAAAAGCAGACTGATGTTCTAGCCCTAAAAAGGGCTTTTTGGGGTGCTGTCCTTACAGCAGAGATCAGATGAGTCCTTCAGGACTGTAGTGGACACTGAATACACTAGCCTAGCTATCAATTTCCCTATCAAATCAGCAGCAGCTACACTGTCCCTCCTCTCACTAAGAATGCAGCTTCACAATGAATGTAAAATGGATGCTGTCCAGGAGGTGGAAGGGTCTGGGAGGGAGGGTCTGCTGCTGATTGGCTGGAATGTGTCTGCTGACTGTGAGGTACAGGGTCAAAGTTTACTCAATGATGACAAATAGGGGGCGGACCGAACAGCGCATATGTTCGCCATCTGTGGCGAACGCGAACAAGCGATGTTAGCCAGGAACTATTCACCGGCGAACCGTTCGGGACATCACTACTGCCTGGGATGGATTGAAAATCATGTACATCATTGGAGCACCATAAGCCTGGTTGTGGGCATTATAGCTGTCTTGGGGGGTGCTCTGATCAGGCACAGGGGCAGCAGGAAGAGGAGTAGGAGTGCGGTGGATCGGCAAAATATTTCTCCCCTGTGTAGTATCATTGTTGGGAACAGAGGGAGACGGCAACCTGTGGAAACTAGCCAGACTGGGGGAAGCCGGGGCCTGTGCGGTTTCAGCTGGTATACCTGTGTTAGTAAGCTGAAGAGCGGCTAACTGTGAGGTAGTCGGATGGTAGTCGGAGGCTGCAAGGGAGGCAGCATAGGGGTTATCTGAGGCCTGTTCCATAGATTCATTATACCCCATGGTCATAATTGGATAACTGGAGGCCGCCATATTGGGGGTGGATACCGGTGACGTACTGGAAGGAAGAATGTCAGCCATGGCAGGGGTTGGAACGGAAATGGAGGGGAGGGATAAACATGAGGGCCATGGGAATGGAGAGACAGACTGGGAATGGGGACGGGAGCTTCGGGGTTTGGAGTGGGACTGGGAAGACTAACAGGAGCTTGGGGTATGATCGGAACAGAGAACGGGGCAGCTGGGTAAACATGGACCGGGCATGCCGAGACCTGCGGAGTGGTTGGGACTGAGGATGATGAGGCAACCTGCACCGGCTGAGCTCCAATGGTGGGCATGACACGGGACGGGGGTGGGGCAGGGGCTGAGACATGAGGAGTGATGGAGACAGGAGGAGGAGAAGAAGAAGTGGGAACAGAAGGCATGACATAGGATGGGGGTGGGGAAGGGGCTGGGACATGAGGAATGACAGAGACAGGAGGAGTAGGAGAAGAAGAGGTGGGAATGGAAGGCATGACATAGGACGGGGCTGGGACATGAAGAATGACAGAGACAGGAAGAGTAGGAGAAGAAGAGGTGGGAACGGTGTCAGGGCCCGCGGTCTCCCCCTTCCCCTACCTGTCGGCGAGCGGCGTCTTCACAGCTTTATGCGCCACTCGCGTCCTCCTCCACGTGTGATTGTTAATTCTGATTGGAAGTTATCCAATCAGAATTAAGCACAGGATTTATATACTTACCTTTCCTGTCTCTCAGTGCCCTGTTGTGGTCTTGTGATACCTGTATTGCAGCTTGCTCGTGTTTCTCTCTGGTTACCGATTATTTGGCTTGTTATTCCGATTTTCCTCTATTCTCCATTCCTTCAACCTCGGCTTGTTTCTCGTTCTCCTGTTTTCTAGCTCCCTTTACTTGGCTTGTCTCCTGATTATTCTTAGTGTGCTTAACCCGGCCATTCTAAGGACCGGTATTGCACCCTTTACTTTCTGTGACCTGTTAGCGTGTTAGGTTCCCGAATCGTGACAAACGGAAGGCATGACATAGTACGGGGGTGGGGCAGGGGCTGGGACATGAGGAGTGACGGAGACAGGAGGAGGAGGAAAAGAAGAGGTGGGAACGGAAGGCATGACAGGACGGGGGTGGGGTAGGGGCTGGGACATGAGGAGTGATGGAGACAGGAGGAGGAGGAGAAGAAGAGGTGGGAACGGGAGGCATGACATAGGACGGGGTGGGGCAGGGACTGGGACATGAGGAGTGACGGAGACAGGAGGAGGTGGAAAAGAAGAGGTGGGAACGGAAGGCATGACATAGGACAGGGGTGGGGCAGTGGCTGGGACATGAGGAGTGATGGAGACAGGAGGAGGAGGAGAAGAAGAGGTGGGAACTGGAGGCATGACATAGGACGGGGCTGGGACATGATGAGTGATGGAGACAGGAGGAGGAAAAGAAGAGGTGGGAATGGAAGGCATGGCAGGACGGGGGTGGGGCAAGGACTGGGACATGAGGAGTGACGGAGACAGGAGGAGGAGGAGAGGTGGGAACGGAAGGCATGACATAGGATGGGGGTGGGGCAGGGGCTGGGACATGTGGAGTGATGGAGACAGGAGGAGGAGGAGAAGAAGAGGTGGGAACGGAATGCATGACATAGGACGAGATAGGGTTGGGGTCGGGTTGGATAATGGGTAGCTGGGTAAAAATAATTTCCGTCCTCTCCAAGGACGGGGTATAACGGGGCAGGCATTTGAGGGGTGATGCCAATTGGAGTGGGTGGGGTTGTGACCTTTGGACTAACTCCGTGGTCAACTTGCCAGGTGCAATGATAGGGCGGTGGCTGGGGTACAATGGGACTGCTTTGTACAGGTTTTCCAACACAAACATTTTCATGATACACATAGACCTTTTGTCCGTCAATTTCCAATTCCTCCTCTAACCAACCCTCTCATTTAATTCCTTTAGCAACACAATACCAAGCTTCCGCTGTCTTAGACAACCCATGAGCCAAAAGTAACCCCTCCTTATCCTTTAACAACTTTCTCCAATCTTCTGCTTGTAACCTTCCACTGGGAGACATGTTAACACAGCAAACCTTTGCAATCTTCTTAGCCTTTGACATAGTCTCTTTTCCTGGCCCTTAGTCGATCTGGTTGTTCCTGACCCATGTTCAACAACATACCCTTCCACACCCAAAGGGTTGACACAGACACAAATTTTAAAGAATTCAACAGTGTTCTGAGTAAAATTCACAGTATAAGAAAAGAGGGAATGAAAAAGAGAGTGTAAAAATTCCAAGGAGGAAAAACTTGCAAGTATTACGAATAAAAATGTGTGCACTTGTACACAAATCAAGGAGGAACCATAAGCTCCACACCACCGCAATGAAGTCACACAACACGCAATTCCAGCAGAGCAACCAGGTCAAAACAACAAAGTACAGCAGTATATAGTATATATACAGTATATATACGAATAAAAATGTATGCACTTGTACACAAATCAAGGAGGAACCATAAGCTCCACACCACCGCAATGAAGTCACACAACACGCAATTCGAGCAGAGCAACCAGGTCAAAACAACAAAGTACAGCAGTATATAGAGCCCAATACAGAAAATCAATAATTGAATCGGCTAACCACCCCTATCCAGACTAACCTATAGACTTTAACACTCCCACCGAGCTAAGACTTTAACGCTCCTATCCGAGCTAGGTCCGAACCGCTCCCACCAAGCTAGGCCTATATCTAATGGAAAATAAAGTACCACTCCAATCCGAGCCAAAACAATAGACTTTACCGCTCCCACCGAGCTAATACTTTAGCTCTCCTATCCGAGCTAGGTCTATTCCACTCCCACTGAGCTAGGTCTATTCCAATAATACAAAAACACAACAATAATAGAGATGAACAACAACATAGAAACATAGAAACATAGAACGTGACGGCAGATAAGAACCATTCGGCCCATCTAGTCTG